TGTGTTAGGTAGGTTAGGTAGTAGTAGTATCTCTCTCTCTCTACTCTATATATATATATATATATATATATATATATATATATATATGGGGAAAAACACTACAAAACGTCTATAGGCGAAGATATATAGTACTTCACTTACGGCTTTATCACCGTTCTAAGTTTATCACACGTTCACATAATGTCTGATAGTGTTTGAATTTTAATATTTTTTTACAAATCATAATGATCTGAAATTTTGTAGGTGTGTGCGCCTTAATAAGATGTACATGAAGAAAATATAAAAAAAATAATTTGAGTGATAAAAATTACATAAAATACCCCTATAAAGTTTTAGAGGCAATTACATAAAATTTATATATATATATACACACATGTGACCTACATGATAAAGACGCATATATATGTCAACTTCTGACACATATACGAACATCACAAACACCAACCCAAAATTGGAACATTTAGACAGGACACATTCGCCGTTTTGATAAAAGGAGAGGTGGAATTTAGGTGACATTAGATAATTTTTATGATAATATTTAAACAAGAAAAGTTAAAAAAGAAGTTTATGAGTTTTCAAAATAACAAGTACAAGTGTCGTGTCTTTAGTGTGACAACATGCATCAAAAATCATAAATATCGTATCTATGTTGTGTTACATGTAAATGGCACAACCATAGTCAATAGGGTGCGATTTGTATAGAGTCGAGGCTCTAAACAATCAAAGTAAAACTCACCTTCAAATAGTGTTGAGAAAAGTGGTTTCAATACTGAAAATCTTTATGATAGCTTTAAAATATATTTTCATCTTTAATTATAAAATTTAAAGCTTAAAAAGTAGTGTAGATCGAGCATATCTATGAAAACTTAAAAATCTTGAAAATTGACAATCCAAAAATGCGTTTCAAGATGCACTATTTCAAAAAATTGAAATCTATTTTGTTCTCATGTCCATACATCTTAATGTCGAGATGATCAATTTGAGAATGTTTGGGCATCAAAACAACTTCTCCTAGTAAAATTTTTGAGGTGGACTCTAATTTAATTGTTTAGACTTTAGAGCCTCGACTCCATATAAACTTGTTCCTATGCAATAAGAAACACAAATATGCGTGCGTGGTGTCTACGATACATAGCATATAACTACATCCCCGAAAGATAATGATTTGGACCTCAAAATATTTTGCCGATTCATTCATAGGTCCGATTTCACCGTTTAATTCTCACTACAAAATGCAAACCTAAAGATCAATACCACCATTAGATTTTGGAAATTAAATATCATGCTTTTTGCAGTATAGAATTTACAACCTCAACTAATTTGGATCCCAAGCGCGAATTAGGATTTGCTTTTGTTTTGGTTGCTTTCAAGCTTCTAGCACGTTCCAAAAACATAATGCATCAGATAATGCGTACAAGAAAATTTTTGTTTCCAGCAATTGCACATGGAAAAACTTATAAACTTATTTGACAGTCATGATCGAACAAGTTTAATTACACCTTTTGGTTTTAGGGAAAATAAAGCAGATTTTTTATGATGAATGGAAGATTTTTTTTTAAACCCCTGAAATTCTTACTGGTTTTCATTAATTTACACCCTTAGCTTTAGAGTTTCAACTAGCTCTCCTATTTGAGAAGCTTTCTCCCTTTTTTTATGGTGTGATAATATGAAATGGAGGATTTGCAGCTTGTCCCTCATGCTGAGCAGCTTAATTAAGATAAGCATATAGGGCGAATCATTTCTCGTGATTTCATTGAAACATTTACTATGCTCACTCTTCAACAGCTGGTTTTCTGTTGCAATTTTTTATTCCTTACTACTAATTCAAAAACATAATGAGAAATAATTTTCATTGCAATCTATAGTCGTGGGTGCGCCTTCCATTTTATGACATTTCATTTTATAGTAGTGCACTGGAAAGGGGTCGGAATCCATTATTTTCACCAAATCCATGACATCGTGTTGATGGTTAATGCTCCACCATTTAGTACCTCCTTTTTGCAGCTTTTTACATTACTGAGATCATGTGAAACACTGCTAATAAGCGACATTGTTCATTCGATTTAGATTGCGCTGTCGTTATTAGGGATGTTAACTACTTGAGCCAAGCTGAGCTTGGGCATGTTTAAGCATGGCTTGAGGTTCACTTGAGCATGAACCACCCAGCTTGAGCTTGTTTTTATTTAGGGAAGCCATGCTTGAGCTTGGCTTGACTTTGTTACTTAAAAGTAGCCCATGAACGGCCGAAGAATCCATAAACAAGCCGAGATCAAGCCCAAAAAAGAGAGCACAACGTGACATCTATCTTATATAATTAATATTTTAAACTGGGTTTCCCATGTTAGGTGATATCAAATATATTACAATACATATTGTATAATTTTTTCTGGTATACATATTTTATTATACAATCTCAAGACAAGCTTTTTTTTGGCTTGGGCTTAACTTGTTTAATGGACAAGCTAGCAATCTGGACTTGGCTTGGCTTGTCAAGCTGAAAAGTAATGCTCGAGCTCGGCTCTTCACGAACTGAGTGTTCACTGGGTAGCGAGCTATCTTGGCTTGTTGACACCCCCAGCCACTGATCCATTGCATCCCTTAGCTTATAATGCTTAGAAACAAAGCCTAAGTGGAAACATGGACATACAAACTACTTTCTTTTGAATTAAGTTACAAGTTTTATGGCGCAATTAAGTAAAAACTAGCAAAAATATGATGCTGAAAAAAAATGGGATAATAATGATAACCATGTTCAGAAAGTCAAAAACAATGATTATTTTTGAAATACTGCTTACCATGAAAAAATATCACTTTGAATTGTCTATGGAAATGCTATACATACTGTTCCAAATTTTTTGGGTGAATGAACTGTTTTAATATGAACACATCATGTCAGCACTTATCAAAGAAAGTCCATTTCTCAAAGAAAACATAGCAATATATGTGAAAGATGCATCACAACATTTCAAAATCAAAAGATTATTTCAAAATACATATGCAAGAACATATTCTACATGTATGTACCTAAAACATTTCTAGAAGTAAATAGGCATTTATTGTGCCATTTATTAAAAAAAGCTGGGTGAGAAAACATTGAATGTACCTGATATCCAATTGTAAATGACTCACAAATCCTTCTCTAAATGAAACTTAGCATTGCAATCCTAGATTCACAGGGGACTAACCAGGACCACCAAACCATCCAGACTATTATTGAAATATAGCAAAATTCAAATCCCTCTTAAACTCATTGGGAAACCATATACTTTACATCTGTTAGTGTCAGCATTTTTCTTCTATTCTTCCAAACCATAAGTTTGAGAGGATGTAACAATCATAAAAGGGGTTCTAAAGGACCTTTCTTGCTCTACAAGAATGCATAGGAGGTCTTATTAAAATAATCATTATCCTAATCTTATCTAAACTATTTCGTGTCGGCTAAGAGGGTCTTATTAAAATAAAACTTAAAAAATATATAAAAACAAAGAAATAAAAACTGTTATTGCCAGAACTTTATCACCAACCTAGAATATGGAAGCTACATCTCATGTGGGGCATATACTTCAATTGCTAAAGCTTATGCATCATGCTTTTTCAGAACAGAAGTATCAGCATAGCTTTGAGCACACGAGGCGACTCTTTAAGCTCTTTAAGCAAAAGTCTTAAATCACTATCTCTAACATTTTTTACCTTCTCCCTATGATTTTTACCTATCCTTTGCCTTCACGTTTCCTCAGCGTTGATTATAAAAATGCCTAAATCTTTTCTCTTTCTATCTTTATTCTCTGTTTAAAACTCACCTTTTTACTTTTTCCCCATTCTTTATTGAAAGACAGGAGCCATGAAAGCTTTACATATAAAAATAATAATGCACTAGTGGCTGCCAGTTGAAACTTTGGGAGGAACTTTCTACCTAGCCCTAGGAGACTTTAAAGAAATCAACTTTAATCTGCAGGACCCTTTTTTTTGTTTTTGTTTTTATTGCACTTTGGGGAGCTCACTGATTATTGGTTTCAAGAATGGAAGAATAAGATCTTCAAAGCACTAGCCTGTGAAGTGGAAGCCAACCCAGGTTATGTCACTTCTTTAAGTGACCTTTTTTAAAAAATTACTAGGATTCTCTCAATTGATACCTCCACTTCATTCTTGATTCTTGAGGGTTTCAGGCTCTTGGGTTAGGGATAGAGTGCAAAATGAGATACAAAACTCCTAGAACTAACACCAAAAGAACTTAGCCACCTCAAGTTCTATATAAGCAAGGGGCATCAAAGTAAGGCAGACTGATTTGAAAATAGGGAGAAAGAATGGGAAGAGCACCAAAGGTTTGTTTTGTGTTCCATTTTTGTGTAATTTTTTTGGATCTATTTATCACATTATTTAATCTCCTAAGGCCTAATTTATTATAACAAATAATGTATCTTTCTTAAGGGTTTAATCATGGCACAAAGTGTAAAGGATCTCAAGGTCACCATGCAATCAATTATAAGTTGTAGGCTTGCAAACGTGGGTCTTTAGTGGAGGTCTTAATTAAGCAAGATCCTAGTGCTCTATTTTTAGAAACTCACTTTTCAAATATGTGAAGCACTCTTGTGAAAAATTCGTTTCAAAAATTTTATCATCATTGCAAATTGATTTCTTACATTGAGAGACTTTTTCCTCCATCCATTAGAAACATATGCTTCTGCTCTCTCTCTCTCTCTCTCTCTCTTGCAGTACAACTACTAGGCACTAACAATTATACGCAAGCATTAATGCAGGTGGGCACATATAGCAAGCCATTTACCAGGTAGAACAGATAATGAAATCAAGAACTACTGGAACTCATGGATAAAGAAGAAGATCAGAAAATCAGCAAGCCCATCTAAGACTCCATCATCCACCATTGACAATCTTCAGCCTACTTATGTCGACAATTTTCATCATACTTCTGTCATGGAACAACTTGAATACCCCAAGCAAGAGCCCTCGTCAAAACCCGTCTTCGCAAAGGAGTTCTCTTCTGTATCCCCACCTTTTCTGCCTTTAACAGGCCCAATTGAGGGAATTAGAGATGAAATTGATCATGAAATCTCAGGCCTAAATCTTGAACCATGGCAACCGAATTGTGATCTCCATGTTCCTAGCTCATTCGGATTCACGAGCGTCATAGATTCGAGCTATTTAGGCAATTCAGTCGAAAGGTGGGAGGAGATGGAGAGAGAGAACCTTGGAAACATGAGAGAAAATATGGAGAGCATGAGAGAGAATATGATGAGAGAGAATTTGGAGAGCATTAGGGAGAATATGATGAGAGAGAATGGGGGATTTATGGGGGTGCAAGTTCAAGAGTGCAATGGTGTAGAGGGTGATGAAAGGGTGGGAAGGGAATGCATGGAGAGTGGGTGGGTTGAGGCTCAGCAATATCATCAGGGCTTGATGCTTTGGGACCAGTTAACAACAGGGTTGGGTGGGTATGCTGCATTAGGGCCACAGCTTTCAGGTAATGTGGATGCATTGGCTGGTTCTTATCAGTCTCCATTTTTATGAGAAGCCCGTGTTTGAAATCCTGGTTTGATGAATATGAAGACCTAAGGCTCTCGCTCGCTCTCTCTGTTAAAGTGTCACTTTCTCCCAAGTAGTCATCTCTAAAGACAGGAAATGCTTTTCAGCTTTGTCTTCTTCCCCCCCCTCAACCACCCTTCTCTCTATGTATTTCTCTTTTCTTCGGCTTGGTGTCTCTGTCATGTTTGTGTCAAAAATAGAAACCGGCATTCAACCCCTCACTGCCTCACGTCTTTTTCCCAATTAATACCTTAGACCTCTCTCTCTCTCTCTCTCTCTAATTAGAACCTTAGATCTCTCTCTCTAATTAGAAACTTAGCTCTCTCTTTCTTACTCCAATTAAAACCTTAGACCACTCTCTCTCTCTAATTAGGACCATAGTTCTCTCTCTAATTAGAACCTTAACGCTCTCTCTCTTATTCCAATGAGAACCTTAGACCCCTCTCTCTCTCTCTTTCCAATTATTACCTTAGACTCTCTCTCTAATTAGGACCATAGGTCTCTCTCTCTAATTAGAACCTTAGCTCTCTCTCTCATTCCAATTAGAGCCTTAGACCCCACTCTCTCTCTCTCTCTTATTCCAGTTAGAACCTTAAGACCTCTCTCTCTCTTTCCAATTAGAACCTTAGATTTCGCTCTCTGTGAAACGTCTTTGAGTGTGTCTCCCTCCTGTTTCTTCTGAAAATAAGGTCTTCAAAAGGTGTTGTGATTTGAGTTGTGGGCAATTGGGTTTCCTCCCTTTTGGCAGAAGTGGTGCAAATTGGGGTAATGCAATCAATTGAAGCTTGCATGTCCCGGAGTCCTTGCATTCAATCGAGGAAAACAAATAAACGCCAATAATAATGGCACGGATATTTGTAATTATTACATATTAATGTATCCCAATTTATTTTGGGGTTATAAGGTTTGCCATCCCACTTTATCAATTTGTGCACATGGAGTATATAAATAATGCCTTTTAATATTGTCTCTTCTAAAAATTTTGTATATCGCTCGTCATCATTATTGGTACCTTTTCTTTTCTTAACTATTTGAAGTCGGTTTTTGTATATCATATTGCAAAATTCCCTAAAATCCATTTGTCTTTTCCTTTGAGAATGGTTTAAGATCACATTTTGTTTTTTAAGAGAAATCTATGTACCACATGAACAAGAAGACATGGCAATACCGCAACAAATGTTTTTCCAAAAAGTATATATAAGGTTTCAGGTTTATACTATAGAAGTAACATGCACATCAACAATCCTATAGAAAAATTTGTTCCGGTATTGGAGAACCCTCCAATTGATCATTTCTACCTTGAGATGTATATGCACAAGGAAAAAAAAAAAAAAAAAACTCTAAGTCTAAAAACTAGTACATCTTGTAGCAAGTTATATAGGCTATTTATTTTCAAGATTTTTAAGTATTTATTGACCTGCTCAATCTATATTATTTTTCAAATTTTAAATTTTATAACTGGGCACTGGAACAACATAATATTCTTGGCACCGGAACAACATCTCTAAGCAAATTCTAGAGGTGTGCCTTACTTCTACGTATGAGGAGGAAAGCTTATACAAACCTCACATATTTTGGGTCATAGGTCCTCTTTTTTAATTTCCCTTTCATGCTCATCTTATCCTTATTCTCAAGTACGAGCAGATCCCCAAAAATATGATGTATAAGAGGAGATTGAAAGGCTAACTAATACACCATATGAAATATATATTTGAGAAATTCATGTATAGGTCATATTGGGTGGTCAATTACAAAATGAGATCACGTTTGTTCCAAATTACGGACGGCACCTACTGACAGGTTTTTTTCTTTTCAAGTTACTCACCGTTCAGAACACCAAACAAGTGGGATTTATACGGTACAAAACAAAACAGATGTCAAATGTTTAAAAAACTGGACAACTATTTGCTATCCCCAAAATATCTGCCAACAGTATCTACTATCCAAATTGAAAGAGGCTCTAATGTTGCGTTGCACTCTTCTTACTGTGAGTAGTGAAATTTATTTTTCATCTAGAAAGAAGCAAACAGGAGCAACTATTCAAATTGAAAGAGGCTCTCATGTTGCGTTGCACTCTTATACTATGAGTAGTGAAATTTATTTTTCATCTAGAAAGAAGGAAACAGGAGCAAAGGAATTGAAAACCAAACTGTTATTTTCCTTGATAAATTTCCAAACTATATAAATCTCAACATCACATCAATCCCCCAAGCATGCAAGGCCAAGACAAATTTCTTCTAGTTACTTTTTAGAAAATCATTAGGGGCAAAATGGATTAAAAATAAGTGAGAAATTGCTCCTTCGAATCTTCGATGCAGTAGCTGTGACGTTACAGTATCTGCCGATCCCTAATGCAAATGCTCTTGCTCCTTCGAATCTTCGATGGAACAAATGCACAGCTCCTTGTCACCATAGATGGAATCTCTCTCTCTAGAATCCACACCTTTAAAGGAAACCAACCCCATGAACTGAACCCTTTCTTTCTGATTACTTGAAATATCGATCCTCTATCTCTTCTCTCGAAGACCCGCTCAGGTGTTCCAACTAATGGGTGCCTTCCTGGAGTCATTTTCATTCTTTGTCAACGTTCTGGGTGATGGCCTTTCTAATGTAAGGTCAGTGGAAAGGGATGGCCTTGGGAGTTTTTATTGGAAGGTTAGGGGAGAGCGATGGGTTGCGGGAGAGAAAAGGTTGACAGAAATTATTTTTAAAAAAAATGCATAATCACGATGATCGCAGAGGACTTGGAAAAAAAACCCTACATGGGGGTGCCGCCCGTAATATGGGACAAATGTGATCTCATTTTTGTAATTGTACTCCTAATATGGTCCGTACGTAAATTTCTCTATATATTTTAGAGCGTTAGAAATTATAGCTTTCAAGCTGCTTAAAAAAAAAAAACTTGATGTATGTATTTGGATAGATCAAAAGTCCAACACGTAAACTGCCACAAATATGTGTTTGGGTGTTTGGACAGCTTGAAAGTTGTCCAACACCAAAAATAAAAATAAAAATAAAAAGATAAAAAAAATTAAAGCAAAAATTTACTTTCAGACCACCTAAAACACAAAAGAAATCCAAATATTGTTGAATTGAAAAATTGGACTTTCACAAACATGCCAACACTTTTTTTAGTGTGCAACTTTGGTCTTTCCATCATCATTATCATTATAGCCTTTTCTCAATTAATCGGAGTCGGCAATTTTGCTTCATCCAAAGTTAGATTTTTGTATTGCCTAAACATTTTAGTAGTTTGGTATTTTGGAAACTTTTTTTTGATTTTTTTGGTTGAGGGTAAATGGGAATGAAATAAAGAAACTCAAACAAGTAGAACCTCAAGATAATAAGATAATATGGACCACACGCATAAATATTTGCATCTTTTTCCCATCAGTAGGTAAATTTTTCTCAGAGATAAAGAAGACTCGATCCAAATTCCCATCCTTTTATTTTTCACTACAAATCGCGTGAATTTTAAGACTCTTAGGAAAGTATCGAAAAATACTTAGACCTGATAAAATGGAAATGCTATTATTTAAAAGTTGTTTTTGAAGACTATAAGAAAATGGGTTTCTATGAGTCGGCCAACTCATATGTATATATGCGGCCCCCTCTAAAAGTCAAGTCCTTTTATTAATGGATTTTTTATCTAATTTTTGTTGTAGATTCATCATCTAGGCCAAGATGATATGAATATGAAAAAAAAAAAATTTATTTTTAAATTTCAAAATATATTTTATAAGTATTTTTTTGTGCATTATCCATATATGATAGGATGGACGTTTGTAAGTCACTGGGGCTCTTGCACCCGCTCACTCACGGAACACTTTTCCTCAGAAAATATCCAAATACAGTGTACTCAGATCAAATTAAATGTTGCACTTTAAAACTTCTTTTTGAAGGGTTCTCTTTATTTAACGGATAGACCCTAAAACCAAGGGACTACTCTAGTGCCAAATCCTTACGATAACCTAAAATCTATATATACCCTGGGGGTCTGTTTGACAAAGAGGAATATTCAATATCTAAAGTTTCAAAATTTTGAATAAAAGCATTATCAGCTTTCTATATTTTTTTATATTTTTTTGGGGTTGAATGCTTTCCATATATCTAGAACGTATATTATCCCAGTATGGGTTTTTTGATGCATGTTTGACAATAAACATTCATTCGAATTTTTATAGATTTGATATTTAGTTAACAAAAGCAAACTTTAGAGATTTTTTTCTTATTAGCAATGATTTGTGATTAGCTTGTACTATCTTTCTCTACATTGAAATTCGATGCCATATCTTCCTCCTCTTGAGTATTAGCTTGTTCGGGTTCACGATGCAGATGGCCTTTTGTCGGTCAAAAGAGCATGGGAGTACAACAGACAGGAAGAGCCTATTAGGGGTGGCAACGGATCGGGTACGACTGGACTCGAATAAAATTCGGGTTTAGGTTTTGGACCCAGACATGACCTGTGGGGTCCAAAAATTAGACCCATACCCATACCTATACCCATCAAATCTCGAGTTTGATCGGGTCCATTGCCACTCTATGACTATGAGCTTCCTTCTTTTTTTTGGCCTTTTTTTTTTACCATCATGTACCCATATTATTAGCAACAAGGTCACAATCACCCATCATTAGATTTCAAGCCATCTGATTTGTTGTTTAATAGCTAAAGATGATTACGAGTTCTTATTGTATACGATTCTTAATACACCCAAATGAATAGAGCTTAAAGTAAAGTATTTTATCTCCAACGGTTTACGGTAGGGTTTGGCTGGACTCGGACCTAGATCCGAATAGTGTTTAGGTCTACAAATTTGACCTATACCCGGACTAGAGGTCGGGTCTACCAATCGCGTCTCAGGTCTGGTCAGGTCCATTGCCACCCCTACTATTAAAGTTGTCTTGAAAGTCTTATGGTCGATACCATTTCTTCGTAGAGCAAAGTGGTTTACTTGGTTAGCCTTGTATTCCAGGTTACCAACCTCTTCGCTACTTCAAATATGGAGTCTAGTTTTTGTTTCCATCTGCCACTTTTGTTCCCACGAGGAGGAGTTCGCAAAGCATATCATGGTGCAATGCTCATATTCGAAACTTATGTAGAGATTTGTTCTCAGCAGATTTAGTGAGTGTTTCCCACTCGAGCATACCACAGTGATCCTGATGGCCAAATAGGTAAAATTCCAATTCCGATCCACAAGTATGTAATTTGTTTGGAATTGTGTATATTCTATTACTATTTAGTACATTTGGATGGAAAATAATTCTCGAGTACAATGTGGAGGTAATACCCCCAAGGAG